ACACACACACACACACACACACACACACACACACACACACACACACACACACACACACACACACACACACACACACACACACACACACTTAGCAGACAGCACTTAAAAGGAAGATATCAGCATGTTTTCTACTCTTTTTTTTGCCAACAGTTGAATTCCTTTACATGTTAGTTTTAACTTTCTGCAGTTCAACTTCAAAATAATTTGAAAATGATTTGAAAATAAATGAATGAAAGCCGGCAGCCGTGTGGCGCTTTAAGTCCAATTTGACACGTGTTCCTGTTAATGCATACACTCCTAGTCCATTATATAATATATCATAATAGAAATCTAACAGATGACTTTGATTACAACGACAACATGCTGCTTTTCTGTAAATCTTTGGTAACAATAATCAGCTAAATTAGTATTTGTTCAGTCTTTTTTACTTTTGATACTTTTACTACACTTTGCTGATGATACTTCTGCACTTTTACTGAACACAAATGTCCTAAAATACTTCTTACCCCACAGACTTTCTCCGTTTTTTATCAGTAAAAAAACAAAGCCATCAGACACACGAGTCTGCCGCTCAGAGATCAGAGGTTACATTCTCAAACTGACCTGAAACAACAACAAGAAAACTCTTTACCTCTGATTTAATCCTCCTCTTCTCATGGTCCGGGAGTAAAACTAAAATCCTCATCTTTACCGATTTCATTTAACACATAAACATCCATACATATACACACTAAAGCACACACACTCCCATACACACAGAGCTTCTCTTCCTCTTTCTGTTCGAGCAACTGTTGTAAAATGGGGAAACGTATCTTTAAGAAAGAAACAAAAAAAAAAACCTCCCTGTGAGCTTATTATCTGCCTGGCGCACACACACAGTCACACACACACACACACACACACACACACACACACACACACACACACACACACACACACACACACACGCACTCACACATACACGGTCAGAAACACACACACACACACACACATGCACTCATACATACACACACGGTCACAAACACACATGCACACACACGGTCAGATACACACACACACAAACTCATACATACACACACACACATGCACTCACATGCACTCACATACACGGTCAGATACACACAGTCAGATACACACACACACACGCACTCACACACACACACACAATCAGATACACACACACACAGTCAGATACACACACACACANACTCACACATACACGGTCAGATACACACACACAGACACACACTCATACATACACACACACGGTCACACACACACACACACACACACACACACACATGCACTCATACATACACACACGGTCACAAACACACATGCACACACACGGTCAGATACACACACACACACTCATACATACACACACACACATGCACTCACATGCACTCACATACACACGCACTCACACATACACNCTCTTCCTCTTTCTGTTCGAGCAACTGTTGTAAAATGGGGAAACGTATCTTTAAGAAAGAAACAAAAAAAAAAACCTCCCTGTGAGCTTATTATCTGCCTGGCGCACACACACAGTCACACACACACACACACACTCACACATACACACACAGTCAGATAAACACACACACACACACACACACACACACATGAACTCACACATACACGGTCAGATACACACACACAGACACACACTCATACATACACACACACGGTCACACACACACGGTCACACACACACGGTCAGATACACACACACACACACACGCACGCACTCACACATACACACACACGGTCAGATACACACACACACACACACTCATTCACACACACTCATACATACACACACACGGTCACACACACACATGCACTCACATGCACTAACATACACACACACACACATACACACAGTCAGATACACACACACACACACACACACACACACACACACACACACACACACACACACACACACACACACACACACACACACACACACACAGTCCCCTCCCACAGCGGCTGCAGCAGAAACGAGGAAGTCTGGAAAACTGAAGTGATATTCTGCATAAAGTGTTTGTAGCTTTCAAAGATTTTTGTTCGACATTTTTTATCTCAAGATCATTTCATGCAACACAGAAAAAACAATGCAGAGAGCAATTTTTAAAAAGCAGGGTGAAGGCAGTATTCAGATCCTTTACTGGATGGAAAAGTAGGGATACAAAACTACAACAATACTCAGTTACAGTAAAAGTCCTGCACCGAAAAGTCACTTTAGAAAGGTCTTTAATCAGGAAAATGCTAATAAAAGAAAATATAAGAGCGGGATTTGATTGTAGTATTTGATCCAGTTGGACGGTTTCTTTTTGGGTTCATCTGTTGAATTTTTATTCTATTAATCAATAGTTTGGCTTGTGATAATAAAATAAATAATGAAAAATGTTAGCACGACTCAAAGTGAAACCATCACAATAATTTTGTCCAACAAACCCTGATCATTATCACTAGTTAACATTATTTAAATGTAAACGTTTTATAATGAAGCCATTATTCCATATTGGCAGCACCTTATCGCCCTCTAGTGGTCGGTGTAAATCACACTTACACATGCTAGTGTAAACCTTATTTTAATCCGGTGAGTTTTACCGTGGTGGCGATCTGCAGACCCGAGTCCATCATCGTCAGAAACTCGTCGTTCAGACTCGATTCCAGGCTGATGATGTCATCGATGACCGTCGCTTCCATCTGAATGAACCAATCACAGATCAGATGAGAGGTTTGACCTTCAGCCCCGCGCATATCGTACATATAGAGTTTGTAGTGATGATTTTGTAGGAAGTTACCAACGCAAGGGTTCCCTTTACAAAAAGCATCAGGATTTTCCATTGTACTCCGGAAAAAGACTAAAAGTACTGTCAACAAAACATTGACCTCCGTAGTAACAGGAAGTGCTAAAATACTGACTTATTTCTAGGTTTAGGACTCATTCCTGCACCACTGTATTTCTTTGTATTTACCTCATTTTTGTCTGCAGGCTGCAGTTTGTGGGGGAAGGGGCTTGGTGGAAGTCCAGCTGGCTCCTGATTGGCTGTCTTGGCGGTGGACAGGTATTGACGCACCTGCTGCCTCTGGGCCTGCTGGATGTGGTACCTGGTGGGGTTCTCCAGGTGAGTCTGCACCTGAGACACAGGGAGCAACAACGTGTTCAATACAGGTGTTCAGGTGCATTATGGGTAGAGGTGGGAAGTAGTGGAGTACAAATACTTTGTTACTTTACTTAAGTACATTTTTCTGGAATCAGTTCTTTACTCCACTACTTATTTTTCTGACTACTTTTTACTTTGACTTCTTACATTTTCCAAACAGGCTGTTTACTTTAATTTGAATGTGTGGCGTGATCATAATTATTTAGAGTCATTGCGTGCCTATTGATTTGAACACGATCCGTGTATCCATCATTTCCTGGTCTTCTCTAAAGAAGAGGGACCAATGAAAACGTTGTCATGTTGCCGTTGTTCAGCATGGAAACATTCATTAGCGAACAATGACATTATTGTTCTATTAATATAAAGGGAGGTCAGGTACTCTTTAAAACAGCTGCTAGTTATGGGTACTTTTTACTTAAGTACATTTCTAAGCCTCTTTACTTTTACTTGAGTGAAGAAGTTTAGTCAGTACTTCTACTTTTACCAGAGTATATTTTTAAACATGAGTATCTGTACTTCTACTCGAGTAAAGGATGTGTTTACTTTTGCCCTCTCTGTCCACATACACTCACACTTAGTGTTTCCCCCTCTCTAGGTGCTTTATCCCAAACATCTATGCAGCTCTATGCACGGCGGTGCTGGTGCCTCTCATCTGTCTGGTTGCTGTCACTGTGGTTTTCATCCACGTCTACCAGGTCACCCCGCAGTGGAAGGCCTACGACGACATTTACCGCGGACGAACCAACAGCACAGGTAACAAATCTGTGCGTTCACAAACACATAGAGTTCAGAATCTGTGTATAAAAAAAGATAAGGACTCAAAATAACATTTCTCAAGTTTCACACAATCTCTGTGCACATGAACACACACCTGAAAAACAAGCAACCAGCTGCCAGGACGCCCTCATTGAACCAGACGACATCCACCTTTTTGGTGCTGATTTTGGCTAAAGGTTTAAGCCGGTATTTTGCTCAGCTTACAGGCTCTGTGTCTGTCTGCTGTGTGTGTACCTAAGGGATTTATTATACAAGAGCAAACAATACCTGCTTTTCTAAATGAAAAGTTGCTGACAGTCACGCATTCAGCCGTGGAAATATGTTGAAATAGATTTAAAACACTCTATACAGCAACTCCAAAACCTTTTTAAAACATACATTAGAGGTCATTTAAAGGGTCCCTATTATGCTTGTTGTGGGTTTCCCTTTCCTGTAGTGTGTTATGTACGTTTCTTTGTATGTAAATGGTCTGCTAAGGTTAAAATCCCAGCTAAGATTAAAATCCCAGCTAAGGTTAAAATCCCAGTGTTCCCTCCATATGGAGTGTCTCTCCCACACACTACCCCCCTGCCTGAATCGCCTCCATTGGACTCCTTTGTTTACTTCAGTAACATAGTGACATCACTATGTAACAATCACGCTTCTATTGGCTAGCGCTCCAACTCGTTTTACCTGATGTGTGCAGGGGCGGGACATCTCTAAGCAGTTGACCAATCACAACCAGCTAACCACAGGCAGTATGAGAAAAATAAATACCCTTTTCAAAATACAAATATGAACCTGAAAATGAGCATAATATGTCCTCTTTAAAGCCCTGAATGCACCCAATGCAGTGCAGTGTGATGTGTGTAAACAACCTCAGACTCGTACTTTATGTAAGATCAGTGTTTGCAGAAAAATGACCCTCATAGAGTTATGGTCAGAATGAATGAGAAGCATTTATCTGATGCAGGCGGTCATTTCGCCCACACATGAAGATCCAAGCCGCTCAGTACCACGGCAGCAATCAGCGGCCGTTGGTGAGAGTCAGCCGGCTTTAGCTTGTTTGGCTCAGTCAAGGCCCTCCAATGACAAAGCAAAGCCTGAATTAGTGCCAGTCCTGTGGCTGGTGAGCAGGGTGTGCCCGACGCACTGTGTGTGGCCTCTGAAGGAGTGTGGGAAACCAAAACAGAGCTTTGCTGAGCTGCAGGTACAGTACGTGTGCATTAATAACAAGAGAGCCCAGCAGGCTGAGGGTAAAGGTCAGACTGTAGGATTGTTGCCTGCCAGGAGAATGGAGGGACTGAGCAGAGATCAAGAGCAGACAGGATAGGTTTAGGGTGAGTTCAGGGGTAAGAAAACGATGAATATGGTGCTGTGCTGTGTGTTGAATGAGAGAAAAACAGAAAGGAAGCAGAGCAGGCTGCTTCTTAAACTCCTTATTTACACAGAGAGGGAACGAGAGAGCAAATGCCGGGAAAGGTAAGCACAGCACACGCTATTCAAGTGTAAAGTGCTGACTGAGTGTTTTTGGCACCGGCACAGAGGACAGAGCGGCCCTTGAGGTGTGAATATGTTTGTCCAGTTTTGTGTTGAACAGCTGCAGTGGGAAAAGGCCGCACATGAAAGGGAACACAAATGTATTTGAAAAACACCAGACTTTGACATTCTTCGTCAGAGTTCATGTAGTGAGAGATCCGTGCTGGTTCAACGTTTGGTGTTTATAAGGACAGATATATGAGCATGACTTCATCATGTACTCAAGCAGTGTGGGCCCAGTGGACTAATTTCTCTTTTCTTTTATTGTGGCTTTTGGCAGCACACAGTGTTCAGCTCTATGCAATATATCCAGGCTTTGTTTTAACATGTCCAGAGAACAAAGGGGAATAAAGCAAATGTGAGGGAGAGGCATGCCATATTTTATTTCTCTGAACACGGACTACGCCTCGGCTTGTTCTATGGGCTGTACGGGTTTTAAAGCCACAGGAACTTTGACGACAACCCTGATATGTTTCTGTCCTTCAAGTGTAGTGGTCTGACAGCAAACCAAATTCGTCTTGACATGTTCGACAGATGGTTGTCAATCAATCGTGCAGAGTCTTTTTTGTAGATTATGCGATTTAGACGATAAACATTTCGTTTGGCCACATTTTCAAATGCCATACTGCAGCAAACAACTGATAAGGGCTTGCAAGATATATCAGGAGTCCTGACGTGTGTGTGTGTGTGTGTGTGTGTGTGTGTGTGTGTGTGTGTGTGTGTGTGTGTGTGTGTGTGTTTGCATGCTCACCTGCACAACATGTACCTGCACCTCAGCCGATACTGGAACTCCACTGTGGCCAATGTCAGGCATGCCAGCAAGGAAACATCAACAAACTGAACTGAACACAGGACAGAATAATACAAAGCACTGAGCCACTATCGAAGCTGATCTTAAAAAAACATGATGTTCTTTGGATAGGGCAGTGAGCGGCCTTTCAGGGTTGAGTGAATAGCTATTATTGTTCTATGTTTTTATGACTTCAAATGTTCCCTGACTTCACTTTGATGTTCAGGGATGTGGATATAAAGTTGTAAATGTGATGGATGAGACTGACCTTTGGAGTGTGAGGCTTTGCAGTTGTTCTTTTTGGCTTTTTGACAGAAGAATTGGAAAAACTATTGGCCCGATATTCATGAGACTTAGTCGAAGGGTGTTACAGTACTACCCAGAAATATTGTACTCTACAGCTAATATCATTTTTAATTTTAGTCCGAATTTTCATTTTAAACATAGGTTAAGTCTATTAAAAGAAAATTGGTATAAGATGTATACAATACTGGTCATGTTAGATGTCTACTAGTTGTTAGAGATCTTAGTTTAATTATTCTTAAATATTCGTAATGCTACGTTTACTTGACATTATGCTCAATTTCAGGTACATAATTGTATGTTGTGTCTCTGCTGTGACATGTCTCCATGCTTTAATGTTCAAAAAGCTCTTTATTTTTCTCATACTGCCTGTGCTGGAGCACCTCTTTTCACCCTCTGTCTGAAACCAGGGGGGGACGACACAGGGATTTTAGCCTTTTCAGATCATTCACATGCACAAAAACCTATAACACACTACAGGGATAATAATAGGGCCCCTTTACATATTTGTGTTGTTTATTTTACTCTTATTATGAATACTTTCTGCATGTAAACAATATAGAAAACAGCTTATACTCTGCCTAAATGTTCACACTTGGTTCACACACATTATCTTTGTGTTGGGTGTTTGTGTCTGCTCACTGCACACTTATGACACGACAGCCTGTTATTACAGCTGTGGCCTCTGTCAGCGCTGTCTTGTGTGTCTGCTCCAGCTGTTTTTGTTGAACCCTCGTTCCCCTCTCAGTTTGTCTTCCCCCACCAGGAACCAAATCTGCTCGAATGTATACTGAGGCCTTTGCTCCTGTGGAGAGAAAAAGCTCCCTCTTGTCCAAAGAAAATCACTTTGATCCGTTTGTTTACTTTGTATTATCTCCAGACAGAAATATGACCTTCACGCCTTTAGCAGAGAGACTTTCTTGTGTGTCTGTGCAAAGGCTTACAGATGCATTCATGCATGTTCACACACATACAAATACATGCACAAACACAGTGGGAAATGTGTTCCTGCTTCCCTCTGCTCCTTCTTGGTGGTATCAAGCTAAACGGTCAGTCAGCATTTGGCTCTGGGAAGCTGTTCTTACTGTGGGAGCTCCTCCCTGTCCTCAGACTGGAATGTGCTTACATGGTTGGAAAACTCAAACCAAGGAGGGAGCAGAAAGAGACAGATGTGCAAAATAGAAGAGAGACATGGAGACATTCGTCTGTATAGAAAGAGTCGAAAGGTTTGAGTAGTCGAAGGAAGTAAAGTGAAAAACGATTTAGCGGATTTCTTTACTCTGACTCCCTGCACCAAAATAGAACCAAAGAGAAAGCACAAAGAGATTAGGTGTGAAATAATAGCTAAAGCTTTGGAAAACAATAACCAGAGTATTGGCAGAATGAATAAAGTCTTAAATCAGGCTCAATGGGAAAGGCCTTAAAAGGAGCAAAACAAGGCGGAGAAAATAGGACTGGGTTCAGCCAGCGTCAGTGAGATAAGGAACATGGAGCAGGGCGGGACTGACAGGAGGAAGTGGCACCTAGGTGAGGGCTCTCTGTGCAGAGCAGTGCCCTGTGTTTCCATGCTACTTGTGAAGTGAACTGTACAGTCTGTCATACATAACACCAAGCAGCAGGCTGAAGGCTGACTCAGCACTGTCGTCTTCAATTGGCACACTATCAGAATCAGAATACCTTTAATACTCCCACAGAGGGGACATTTACATTGTTACAGCAGAAAGGAGCTTAATGTTAGAAGCATGCATACAGTACAAAAGTATTAAAGATACAAAAATAAATTATAATAAAGAAATTACACCTTTTACAAAAAGACATATCCTGTAACAGTTCTGAGGATTTAGCAGCCAGGTATATATTGCACAGTTTTTAACGGCATATTGCACATATTGCTCCATTTACCATTGGAGTCGGAAGCATTTGTGTCTTGCGATTGATTTTGAAGATGTCGCCTTGAATTCCATCTGTTATCTTATATATGTGATTCATCTTATTTTGCCATCCTTTTCCATTTGATGAAGTGTGCTCCATATGGTACAGTAAAGGAAAGACGACCGTATGGGGCATGACTGTAAATTATCAATGGTACGTCACGCTCTCAGAAGCAAATAACATGAATGGATGCAAAATGATATTTATAGTAGCAACTGAAATGCATTTTTGTTGCAGAAAAACAGAAATGTCATCGTATAATACTGTTTTTCATCAATATATTATAGGTCTCAGATACATACAAAACATGTCTCTGAAGTGTTTGTCTGAAACACCAAACAGATCATTGCAGCATTACCCATAATCCCCTCTGTTTCAGCCCTGTTTCCAAAGTGCTGATTCTCTGTCTGTTACTTTAGATGAAAATAAGGAG